CTCTGTGTAAAACCTCCCGGCCAGGTTTTGGCAAAAACGGCCGTTTCCCAATGATCCCAGAAGAGAAATTCAATAGCCGGCCGAAAAGCCGCCAAAAGGCCGAAATTTGCTTCCAAAAGGCTCCCGGCCAGGATTTGGCCAAAAACGGCCGTTTCCCAATGATCCCAGAAGAGAAATTCAATAGCCGGCCGAGGGGCCGCCAAATGGCAGAAATTTGCTTCCAAAAGGCTCCCGGCCAGGGTTTGGCCAAAAACGGCCGTTTCCCAATGATCCCAGAAGAGAAATTCAATAGCCGGCCAAGGGGCCGCCAAATGGCAGAAATTTGCTTCCAAAAGGCTCCCGGCCAGGATTTGGCCAAAACCGGCCGTTTCCCAATGATCCCAGAAGAGAAATTCAATAGCCGGCCGAGGGGCCGCCAAATGGCAGAAATTTGCTTCCAAAAGGCTCCCGGCCAGGATTTGGCCAAAACCGGCCGTTTCCCAATGATCCCAGAAGGCTCCCGTGTGTAAAAAGCCCCTTTGTGTATAGACTTCTCTATGTAAAAGCCCCTGTGTGTAAAAGCCTGCTGTGTGTAAATGCTTTTGTGTGTAAAAGCTCCTCTGTGTGAAGGCTTCTCTGTGTAAAAGCTTCTGTGTGCAAATGCATCTGTGTGTAAAAACCCCTCTGTGTAAAGACGTCTTCGCGTAAAAAGTTCTGTGTGAAAAAGCTCCTAGACGTTTGTGTGCAAAAGCTCCTTGGAGTAAAGACTTCTCTGTGTAAAACCTTCTGTGTGTAAAAAGCTCCTTTGTGTAAGGACTTCTTTGTGTAAAAGCCCCTGTGTGTGTAAAAGCTTGCTGTGTGTAAACGCTTTTGTGTGTAAAAGCTCCTCTGTGTGAAGGCTTCTCTGTGTAAAAGCTTCTGTGTGCAAACGCGTCTGTGTGTAAAAAGCCCCTTAGAGTAAAGACTTCTCTGTGTAAAAGCTTCCGTGTTTAAAAAGCTCCTTTGTGTAAAGACTTCTCTGTGTAAAAGCCCCTGTGTGTGTAAAAGCTTGCTGTGTGCAAATGCTTTTGTGTAAAAGCTCCTCTGTGTAAAGGCTTCTCTGTGTAAAAGCTTCTGTGTGCAAATGCGTCTGTGTGTAAAAACCCCTCTGTGTAAAAACTTCTTCGCGTAAAAACTTCTGTGTGAAAAAGCCCCTAGATATTTGTGTGCAAAAGCTCCTTAGAGTAAAGACTTCTCTGTGTAAAACCTTCTGTGTGTAAAAAGCTCCTTTGTGTAAAGACTTCTCTGTGTAAAAGCCCCTGTGTGTGTAAAAGCCTGCTGTGTGTAAATGCTTTTGTGTGTAAAAGCTCCTCTGTGTGAAGGCTTCTCTGTGTAAAATAAGCTTCTGTGTGCAAACGCGTCTGTGTGTAAAAACCCCTCTGTGTAAAGACTTCTTCGTGTAAAAGCTTCTGTGTGTAAAGGCTCCTAGACGTTTGTGTGCAAAAGCTCCTTAGAGTAAAGACTTCGCTGTGTAAAACCTTCTGTGCGTAAAAAGCTCCTTTGTGTAAAGACTTCTCTGTGTAAAAGCCCCTGTGTGTGTAAAAGCTTCTGTGCGACTCCTCCCTCCAGCTTTCTTTCAGGTCACGCTGTCGTCCAGTTTCAATCTGCAACATTGGTTCTTGTGGAAGAAGGCAAAGAACAGGTGAAAGCATCGCAGGTTAAAAAATTGAACATAAACAGCGCACAAAGTGCTGTAATTTACAGCATATTGCGCTGTCAGCTGGCAAGAACCCGCGTAAATACCACAGTTTTAGTCCCCCAAAGTGGCTAAAACACTGTTATTTACAGTGTTTCGTTCACGTCACGATCTTCGATTTTTTGAAAAACGCGTAAATACCAGCGTTTTTTGCGTTCATCAAGGAAAAAAATCGGTTCAGAAAGGGAAGAAAATGCTGTAATTTACAGGGGTTTGGCGCCGCCACGGGCAAAAAACTGCGTAAATACCAGCGTTTCGGCGTCCAAAAGTTGCCAAAACACCGCTATTTACAGTGTTTCGTGCCTTCCACGTTTTCTTGAAATTGCAAAAACACTGTGAATACCAGCAGTTTTTGCGATCAACACGCCAAAAATGCTGTAATTTACAGTGTTTTTTTGCTTGGCTTTCGAAAACACTGGTATTTGCGGTGTTTTGTGCATCTTGGGTCCAAAAAGTATTGGTATTTACAGCATTTTCTGCGTTTTTGCATGGCTCCCGCAAAAGACGTTAAAACGCAAAAATGCTGTAATTTACAGCATTTTGTGACTTTCGAAAAGCGAAAAATCGTCCGAAAAATGTGTCAAAACGGCGCTTTTTTCCGATTTTAGGTACCCTCAAAACGGGGGGGGGGGAATGCTCTTGGAGACGCTTATGAGCGACCCGGATCCCGGCCAAAAAGCTTTCCCCCACCCTCCTGAAGGATTTTTGGTGTTTTTCGGGGCCCGGCGTCGGAGGGTCGGCGGCTTGGGGCGCGCCTCACCTTAGAGCTCTAGTCGCTCTGGGACGCTCGTGACGCATTTGTCAGCGTACTCGTGGGGAGCCGGCGGAGCCGAATTATATGTGATTATATATATATATCCCCCATAGACTTACCTGCTTGGTTCGTAGATTGTGTTTCAAAACCATCGAAGGCCCAGCCTGCTTGTCGCTGATGGCCCAGTTGGCATCCGAAATCTGGTGCTGTTCAAAGAAGTCCAACCACGTCTTCGTCTGGACGCTTGGATAATTGCAGGATAGTAAAGCAATGGCAAACCACCCATAAATATGTTTAATACTACATACCACCCATTTATATATGGTAAATTTGGAGATGGTTTACTATTGCTTTACTAACATCAATCTAGGCATACATGCGGCGATGGATCAATGGCCAATCCCCAGATCTGGGTCCCAAGATTCTCTGGATCAAATTGGATTGGTTTAAGGGAACATTGACAGGAAAGCCCAGCCAATTTGATGCGGAAAACCCAGCCAATTCCGGTGAAGATCTTCTCAAACGGTGGTTCTTTCACCACTTTTTTTCAGGTGAACTCACCCTTTCTGCAGGTGTTTGGTCCCCAAAAAATGCTGCCTCCTCCAGGTTCAGGGTGCCATCGCCACTGGCATCGCAGGTGCCCCACTCCGTGGCAAAGATGGCCACCGATTCCAAGGCCTTCGTGACCTGGAGGATTTTCCAACGCTAGGACCATATGGATGAGTGGAAGGAAAAAATCATCAAAGGAAAGCCCACAGAAATATAGATTCTTACAGATTCTTCACACCCTTCCCCACTGAATTTTTAGTATGTTCAGTGCCCTCAGTGGTTAGCAGGGTTGGTAGTCATAACCCTATAGCTGATGGGAAAAACCATGCTTTCCTGTAGATTTTTCCTACCAATCCAGTGATAGGACCATATTGAGGTTTCCTAAGTCACAGGGGTACCCCAGTTATCATCCAGTCGTGATGACCGTGCCTTAGTATTGAAACAACCCTGATGACGACGGGGGATCCCCCATGACTGAGGAAACGCCCATCTGGGGTTACCCTCTGGTAAACTAACATAACTATGGAAAATCACCATTTTCAATGGGAAAACTCACTATAAATGGCCATTTTCAATAGCTATGTTAAATTACCAGAGGGTATGGTCCTTTTTTGGAAAAATCTCGCGGGGCCGGTTTGGTCAAAATTATGAAAGTGTTACATATACCTATTGTTGTTGAATGGCGGGAAGCTGCAGAAAAAATCCACCAACCAATGGGAAAAAGGACATCAATGTACTGGTTGTGAAAAACTGGCTGCTTCATCTTATCTGCTCTTTTTTCGGTTGGGTGCATATATAGAAACAACAAAATGATCATAAAAACATCAAAAACCACCCAAGAATCAGATTGATCAACAAGCAATATGTTTCTAAGCTTGCGTTCTTGATTCAAAAGTGGATGATGATCATCTCCTATCCATTTCCGGTTGGTTCAAATTATCATAAACCAAAAAATTGAACACTGCTCATGTCAATGTTATTTAGATAATTTAGATATGGTGATTCAGGTACGAGTATGGCGATCTAGGTATGGTGCTTCCGGTATGGTGATTTAGGGATTTCACGCTGAGGTGATTTCAGCAGCAAAATGATCAAAATGTGGTGATGTTTGATAGGTAAAAATGGTGACTTGCAGGTGCTTTGAATATTGTTCGTTGAGTTGGGTATTGGGTATTGGGTATTGGGTACACCAAAATTGTGATGGTAGATATTGGTAGATATTGACTGTGGCCCTATGTTTTTCATCGGTCATGCAAGCAGCATCTGGTGACGTTACGTTTGATCAACAAGAATGGAGATTTGATAAAGAAGTGACGTAACCTGACGTAACCTACAAAAAGATTGGATCTCAAGTTTGATGGTGATTCAGTTGGGCAAACAAAAAATGATGTTTACCCAACAACGATGCAAATGTCATAGTGCTAGAGAAAAAAGGAACAGAAAGTTGCCAAAGCGAAAGAATCAATATAGGTTTATCTGTATAGGCACTCCGTGGAGCTAATCGAGTTCCACTAGAACTGCTGCCGCCAAACCTACAGATCCAAAACCAAGAAAGCAACCATGAAGGATGAGAAATGGTCATGTTCAACATGTTCACAAGAACGGCTTAATTACAGTGTACGTAAGTGACATCACTCCAGTCGCGACAGACGAACGCGACGAACGCTCCAATATGCCATCCACCGGCCTTATCTCGAAGCTCCTGCAGCGCAAGTCGATGCAAGTCGGCAGCAGACAATGGAAGATGAGACAAATCTGTTGGTTAAAACCTCAGACAACATGATCAACAATCATCAACATGCCAATTGTTCGAAACCTAAAGGAGCAAAGATCAGCAAAGAACCTGGATAAGACAGGCTAAAAGATTAGAAGTGTTCACTGAAAGAAACATATTGAAGTCTGCAAAAATCATGTGAGCTTTCAGCGGGTCCTGCTTGTGCGTGTTCGCATAGAAATGGATGGTGTATGCCAGATTCTCCCCAGCAACCTGCCAGACATGAATTTTTTGAATCCGGAAATCAAACAAGGCAATGGAAAATGTGCCATCTACAGTTGATTTTCCCGGCATTAGAACCTCCATTCATAGGGGATTTCCCACAGGGATTACCGGATTCATAGCATCGTGGTGGGGGAACCGTTGGGAACCCAACTCGGGGCCCCGAACTGTTCGGTCCATTCAGTCCATTCAGTCCGAGATGCAGGATCTTCAGCAGCAATGTCCACATCTTGCGACCATGTGCCAGTGCCCAAAATGATCAGATTGGAGCTCTCTTCTCTGATTACCTGATGGCCAGTTGGGGGTACCCGGCCTGGTAGCCACGTTTACAGTTTGCGAACTGGAAAACCACCATGTTTTATTGGTAAATCAACTATTTCTATGGCCATTTTGAACAGCTATGTTAGTTTACCAGAGGGTATACCCCATCAGACGCAGAATTCTGAAGATACGAGGTCGGCTGAACCCCTGCTGCGGCGCAAAGCGACAATCTGCAGAAAAGGCTCTGACACAATCTTCTCATGGTAGGGTTTGATGGTCTCATTCCAGCTCTGAAAAATCGGCTCATTGAAAATCTCAAAAATCACATTGGGCAGGTGTCCAAACCTTGGTTCTTCGCCAGAACCAAGGCACTTGGGAGTGCATCTCCCATGAAAAATTTCTACAAACAGGCTTCTTGTCGTGAATGTCATGTCATCGTCAAAAACAATTACTCCCCAAATGGTCTCAGTTCATGAATAGATCCCATACTATACCGTGGTTTCAAAGCTGGAGTATCTGAAATGGTTTATCATGGTTTATCAATGTTTATCATATCCCCAGGATCTCCTCATGATATTCCCATTGTACTGGCAGGTAGGGAAGGGATACAGCACTCCCATCAAAGCCATGCAACTCTTTAGACATCTGCTTAAAGAATTCGGCAGCTTCCTGTGCGGAATTGGAGAGTCAGCAGCATCAAACGTCACACTTCAACCAGGCTTCAACTGGGGTTAGGCGAAAAATGAATGAAAGTGGGCTAATTGAAACACCAGAATGAGGGTATGACGGTATGACCATATAAGCTACAACATGTTTCATGCAACCCTCACATTAGAATAGTTTCCTAGCAATTAATTGCCTAAAATCAGTGTGCCAAACAAATGACAAAAATATGGATGTCCTTAAAGTTGGTCTGCAAGCTTGTTCACATCTAGGAACGATGCTGTGTCCCTTATTGGGAGTTCATCATTCCAGCCTCCTGATGCTGCTCAGCATTGTGATCGTGCCAATCAATAATCACATAGATTCCCTGCTTGATGGCAGCTTCCACCACAGTCTGTCAGCTGTTCGAGATCACTTCTGCTATGTCTGTTGCTACTTCAAAGTTTCAAGCAACTACCAACTATATATATGTATATAAGATACCCTGTGGTTATTTAACATAGCCATGGACAATGGGTCATTTATAGATGCTTCACCAATTAATAGCATGGTGATTTTCCATGGCAAATTGTTAAATAACCAGAGGCTATATATAAGTCCCCTTAAAAAAGACAGGCAAGCTTTGCAAACAGATGATGTTTCCCCCATCACTCTCGGTACAAAAAAGGTAGAACCTACTCACAGCATACAGCAAGGACGCAAATACTAGATGTCACTGGACGCTAAGTGCCAATGAACATGAAATGTAAAATGTGCAGCAGCTTCCTTTCACACTTCAATCATAGTTGTCGGAAAGCGCATTCGACACATCAAAAAATCAGAGTTGTCACCATCTCTGTCGCCACTCCTCTGCCAGTGACCCCTGCCTTCATTTTTCCCATTTCTTCCTCTGGATGAGTGAGATATCCATCTGCCTGTCGAAAAAGGTCTGCCAGCACATCATGCAAAAACTACTGGCCCCGAGTTCGATGCCATAGTTCTTACTGGCCGCTACCAGCACCAGCTTCACCAAATGGTTTCCCGGTTCCATTGGTTGATGGATTGGCTTGGCAACTGAATTCAAAGACGCGATGAAAATTGGGGTGAATCTCCTATTTGAGACAAGCCCATATACATAATGTCAGTTCTATATCCCTTTATATCTTTAAATATTATATATATAATGTGTAAATATATGTATATGCATATCCCATTGTGTATGGGTCATCAAATGGTTGGTCTGGAAAACACCCCATCCTCCACGGCCATTGGGCAGCGCAGCAAAGTGATGCCCCACTTCTTCTTCAGCCAGCGAGTGGTCCCTGATGTATCGCGATTTTCATGGGGAACATTCGAACTTGTCGGAACTGGAGACATCGGGAAATATTGATAGATGCAGCATTTCATATGGCCATTATGTGGCCACTTTTTGTGGTAAGTGTTACCCTCTGGCAAACTAACATAACTATTGAAAATCACCATTTTTAATGGGAAAACTCACTATAAATAGCCATTTTCAATAGCTATGTTCGTCATTACCAGAGGGTAACCATTTTTCCCATGGTTTTCCCATGGATTTGGGAGGTCCCCTGTGTCAAATAGCAAAACAGCGTCCTGCGGTCCAGAACTGCGGTTTCCATTGGGACCAGAACAGCGACATCCCGCGAAGTCGTACCACCTGGCCAGACCTGGGATTTTCAGATGCTCAATGGGAAATCTTCAGGATCCAATACATGGAGGTACGTTGGTACCATATATTTCTGGCCATAGGAATTGTGGGGATATTCCCTGAAAAAAAAAGGCCTGAAAAATTGGCCAAAAATATATGGTAGGTACCTCCAATAGTCTCCAATGAATCATTGAAATGCTGTCAAGTGGCTCATCTACGACTTTGTTCCCCTGCACTTTGAGGAATCCATGCTTCTTCACAATGGAGTCCTGCACCGGTGACGCAGCGTCGGCAAGACGTGCTGAGGAGGCCCAGAAAATTGTTTGCCAAGGGGATCGCAAGAGAGAAATACCAGGAACCCCCCATCTACAGTTGAATACCCACATTCCAGGTGTCTGTTCTGTAAATTGTTTCCATCGCCGGTGCCTTCGACTCCTCCTCGTCATCGTCGTCATCATCGTCGTCGTCATCGTCGTCATCATCCTCACAACAAAGTGGCCATGACCAGGCATCTAGGGAAACATATTAAACGAATTTAAACGATGGGTAGTACTGGTGGGAGCTGCGCATGTCTTTTCATTTGAAAGAATGGTATTTCGGTGAGACAAGGGGTTCTGCTCGAAGCTGTCACAGACTACTGGGCCAAGAATGGTGCCATTGTCAAAGAGACCCTACGGCTCCTTTGCGGTCTGATGTGTTAGGAGGTTTCCAAAACAATGCGCACCACAGGATTGCAACATTTAATTGATTTAAGATTTCCCAGTACCATCCTCACTGGATTTATGTTGAGATCAAAAACTTTCAAACCACTGTGTAGCAGCAACTGCAGTACATCGGCATTGCCCGCATTACCACTGGCCTCATCGCAATTTCCAGCCTGGGTCTGTTGCTCAGTGGAAACTCCCATGGTTTATCATCATGCTCTCCATGCTCTCAAGGCATTTGGTTCCATTTGGCTCTCATTTCCGATTTCCCATAAGGATATCACCAAAAAAACATTGCTAAAAATTGGCTCTTCTGCATGTTTCACAGGAATACTGTATCTCATGAAATATCTGCATAACATTGTACCCTCGAATAGAAAATGCCATCACATCCCATAGAATATCCAATGGAATATTTATGTGTATATATATATATATGGGTTTGTCTGAAAATAGTGTACCCCTACACCCAATGGTTTTGCTGATCATTATCCCTACTAAATGGTTATTTCATTGGGGCTATACCCCATTTTCAGACATACCCATATATATATATATACATACCATTTATAGTGGATTTTCCCATTAAAAATGGTGATTTTCCATAGCTATGTTAGTCATTACCAGAGGGTAAAGGGCATAAATCCTGCAGTCAATCCTTTGATCTTGCCTAAGGCCCCAACGGCGCAGCGCTTCAGAGACCGGAGCCGTCCGGAAGCGTCTGCCGTGGACGCCGCACTTCCCTGCTCCGCCTGCACCGGGTTACAATCGGAGGTGAGATCACTTTTTTTTAATAGGAGCTCTGTATAAAATACATGATATGGATATATATATATATGTATATTTAAAATATTTTATGTAATTAATACAATTCTTGTGGACCAATATGATGGGATGGGATACTCTACATAGGATATGTATAATATATCTATATGTAACATATAGGATACACATGGACGCAAACTCTTACAACCTCAGACCTATAAAATCCAAACACTAGGCTTTCTGAACGGTCTCAAGACTTCCCTGTGACACAAGGCTTCACAGGTCAGGGCCCAAACATCAAACGAGCCTCTGACCAAACAACAATAGCAGCCAAGATTGTCTGATCCTAGTACGGAACTTGTTTCCAGCAAGTGTCTCAGCCCAAAAAAACTTCTAATACATGTGTAGTCATCTGTACACATATATATATGATATATGTCATGCTATTGGCCCAAACGCGCGGCCTTCTTGACCATCTGCTGCTTGTGCTGCAACATCTGATAGCCCTTGGTTTGGCAGTCCGGGCATGACCTGAGCACATTTCTGAGCTCTTGAGAACTGAGCTGCGACCTCTGCCGAAATCATCCATTTTTCCATCATTAAACCCAAAAATAGGGATCTAATGAGAATAGCATGAGAATCCATCAGGAAATACGAATTTAGATATCGTCGGTGGCACTCTGGAGCTAATTCTTACAAGTTTCTCTGAAAAGATGTCATATTGAACTTGAACCATTTTGGGTGATACCAATTGGCAGTTTTGGACCAACCCCATACCGAAAAGCGTCTGAAACATCGTCACAGCCCAGCTGCTTGGCAGCCAGCAGCACTGGCAGAAAAAGTAACAGCAGCCACATGGCAACGCCGGCTTCCACGGCGTGCCAGGTGGAAGCCGCTGCAAAGAGTTTCAGCAAACAGCTGCGGATGGCCCGACAGCATGACCTTC